GGACCCGGGAGGCCACTTTGTCCCTTCCAGCCTTGCCTCACAAGAAGGGGGACTCAGAGAGGACCAGCGACTCACTGGACATCACACCGGAGGTGGCAGCAGTGTGGAGACCAGACCTGGGTCCCCCTTCCTAGACTGTCAGTTCCACCTGCAGCAGCAGGGGCCCAGAGAATGGAGGGCCACAAGGGCGGAGGAGGAGAGCAGAGCATTGGCCAGGCCCCTCCCCATCTGCAACATAGCTGAGCAAGGAAGAGGGGTCTCGGGGTGACACCCCCCTTTTGCTCTTAGCTGTTTCTGGGGCCGAGTGGAAGAGAGGAGAAAGGAACAGGCTGGGGCCATTTTCAAAGAACCAGACTAGCCCAGCACCTCAGGGCCAGCCCAACAGATTCTCTCCTCCAGCTCTGACTGTTTCCGGGCCCATGAGAATCCCTGGCACTTAGCACAGAAAGACCACAAAGCAAAACATATACTCAGATATCCTGACCAGTTGTGTGGGGACAGGGAGACAAGGGTGACAGGGGTGTGACAAGCCCTCAGCTTTGGTCTGAACTCTGCTGGCCCTGCCTCTTGCTGATCCCCACATGCAGAGCCCACAGGGTTGTTCCAGCTCCCAGGCCCCACTCAGGAAATTGGAGGGAGAACCACAGCTGGCCGGTGCTCACTGAGGCAGGGTCTGTGGCCACCGTGCCAGCTCAGCAGGGGCAGCTGGGTCTCAGGGAAACACACCTGGAAGGGGCTGGCCTGGGAGGGCCCCCTCGGTGTCATGCCTTTCTGGAGGCCGGGGGCCACTTCCTACCCCACTGCAAGCCCAACTGAGGGAGTGAGCTCGGACGGTCCCGGGAGGGGTGAGGGTCACTTACACTGGCTGGGAGGCCTTCAACAAGCTGCGGTTGTATTTCTGCATGACCCCTTGGAACAAGCCCATGGGGGCCGGGGCCGGCGAGCTCTCGGGCGGCACAGTGGACCTGGAGGGCAGAGGCCAGGAATGAAAGAGGGAAAAATACTCTGCATAGGAGAAGCGGGTCATGGCTGGAGGCAGGCGCGGGGAGCGCTGGGGAGAGGGGGGCAGACAGGCAGATGCGGGCCCTGCACCAGAGCAGATGGCCGCGTCCTCCCTGCGTGGTGGACACAGCTGCTGTCTGCGGATTATTTTTGGCCCTTGGAGGAAGCCCTGGGAGAGTTAAATGACCATATAAGACAACAGTGAGGTTAACCTCATCCCCCCCCCTCAGTCCCCTTCCCCAGCCAACCACACAGGAGGCAGATACGAGGCAAGGTGACATTCTTCACCCTGGGAGAATGTGAGAAGTGGTCGACTGCAGGGCCCACACAGTGAATGGGCCCCAGTCTCGGGACTAGACAAGAGACACCTGGAAGGCCAGGGGTAGGAGGACAAGCCACATCCGTGCCCCCACCCAACCTCACCAACTCCTCATTAGAGGATCAAGCCCCTACCACAAAAGGCCAGAACAAATGATATGAAGGTCACAGCTAGAGGGTGAGGAGGAAGCCAGCCAGGGCCAGGGCTGTGGGTGGACACAGATTCAAACCCAGGCTCTGGCACTGCCCAGCAGGTGACCTTGGGTGGGTTGAACTCTATACTCAGCCCCTGGCAGGCAGGCCCGGGTGAGACCTGCATGAGTAAGTGGTAGGAAGGCTCAGTGAAGAGTGGGGCACAGGGCGTGCTCACCACCTTTCACTGTCCATGGCACTTTGCTGGCCCTCAGTGCCCCACGCCCACCCAATCAGGCTGCAGTAAGGATAGAGGCGTGGCAGCCACACAGAATCTAGGTGAGAGCTGGCATGTGGCCCTTGCCAGCCCCTCACCCAGCAGGGTCAGGCCCTGGCTGTCTACACCCCAACAGACCCAGCCATCCTTTGCATGCTCTTGGGAGACCCTGGAGGGTTGGAAATTAACAGTGCTGGTGACAGGCAGCATGGCTGTGCTGAGACTATGACCTGGGAAGGACCCACATTCTCCTAGGACAGGCCAGAACCCGTAGATTTATGGACACCCACAGAGGGCCATGGGGTGGTGGAGAGGCAGAGAGAGAAGGGAGGACACCTTGAGTCCTTGCTTTGGCCCATTGTAGGCTGGCTCCAGGCCTGACCACCTCCATTATCATGGTTGTCACTGTTGCTACCTTCACTGAGCACCCAAGGTTCTTTCATGCATTAATCCTCACAGCCCCCCTAGGAGGTGGGGCTGATGTCACTGCCCTTTTGCAGACAGCAGACTGGGGCCCAGAGACGATAAGGAACTGCCCAGGGCCACAGGCAGCCTGCGGGTGAGCCTGGACAGCGTGAAGGCGCAGACCCTCCATCTTCCCTGCTCCTTGGGATCCTCTCTCCAGGTCTATAGCATACAAATTCACAGGCCCGAGACTTCAAACAAGCCTCCTGGGGCTTCATTGTCCTCATTTGTAAAATGGGGAGCCAAGACCCGACCAGTGGGTGCCTGGCTAGTTTGGTAGCTGTGGGGCTGATGCAGAAATGAACTTGAATGGGAAACCCAGGTGCCCAAGGACACACCAGTGCTGTTCTGGGGTCGGGGGGTGAGGCAAGCCATACTAGAGCTTCCCCCAGGCCCCCTGGGAATACTGATTGGTTGTCCAAGCTCCCTGCACCCGAGGGGAAAGGGCCTAGTGTGAGCACCAGGGCGGGCAGGCCTGGGACCAGCCACCCTCGGCACTCACCAGCCAGACAGCCTTAACAAGGTCCTTGGGGGCTTTTACCCCTGTGATCCTTGGGTCTTGGCCACCTTCACTGTTGTCCACTCAGGGACCCTGATTGCTTATTGTGGTTAGGATGTTTTTAGGCAACTTTGTTGTTAGTTGCATCAGATTGGTCCAGACTCATGGCAACCTTATACACAACAAACAGAACAAAACACTGCCTGGTCCTGTGCCCTCCCCACGATGGGCTGCAGACTGGACCATTGTGACCCATAAGGTGTCCATGGCTGACTTTCAGAAGTAGGTTCCCAGGCCTTTCCTCCTAGTCTGTCTTACTCTGGAAGCTCCCCTGTTCAGCATCACAGAGCATGCAAGCCTCCAGTGACAGATGGCTGGTGGCTATGCTTGAAGTTCATTGGCCAGGAACCAAAGCCATCTTGGGGGCAGGTTCCTCCATGGAAGGCAGGAATTGCATCACTGACCCTCCACTGCCCCAGGAAGACAATAGGCCCTGGTGAAAACCCACCACCCCACCCCAAACTAGGACCTATCTCATAATAACAACCCTGGCGGCGGCAGCAGCAGGGAGGCTGATGGGGGTAAGTGACAAGATGCTGGCAGCAACATCCCAGCAAGTCCATGCTGGGCCAGCGCTCACAAAGCCAGTCCAAACGGCGCCTCACTTCCATCCTCCCCACTGTCTGTGGAGGCTGGGGGAGGGGAACTCTTCCCATTTTGCAGTTGAAGAAACAGAGATTGAATTTGATTTGGTAAAGTTATTCCAGCTCCTACTGGGCACCCAGCCCTGGCCCAGGAGCTGGCCACGAAGACCCCTACAACACTTCTTTTTCGGGTCCTTGGGATGCTCACAGGCCAGTAGAGTGGGGGTCAAGGACACACAACCAAAGAGCTGTAGGGGAGGAGGCCCAGGAGCATGGAAATTGAGGGGGCATTAACTTGGTTTGGGGGCCAGGGGGTGACGGCTCAGTTACTGAGCTGTGAGAGTCTCCGAGCTGGAACCGTGAACTTTCCGATGGAAGCTGGAGGCCTCACTTCCCCCGGAGGCCCCGAGCAGGGGAATTCCCAGCAGAGTAACCCACAGGCTGAATCATCAGAGGTGAGAGGCTGGGGCAGGACATGGGCTCAGGTCATGCCCTGCAAGAGGCCCAGGTGGGGCCCAGCCTGTGGGCTGTGGGTGTCAGCAGAAGGTCTGGGGGTAGGCATGCAGCCCAGCCCAGTTTCACCATCTCTCCAGTCCTGGAGTCCCACTGGTCCCCAGCTTCAGAACCAGCCCAGCTCAGGCTCAGTGAGAATGATGAGCAGGGCTGAGGTGACATCGCCCCCAGGCCCTGGGGGAGCCAACAGATGGGCTGCTTATCTGAGTCGGTCAGGACCCCAGGCCAGCCCAGGAAGGCAGGGGAACTGGGCTGAATACCGACACAGCAGGCATCTCAGCAGGGAAGGGGTTACCAAATAGGAGAGTCTCCTCTGAGCCCACCGTGTGCCAGCATCCTCACACCTCTCCCCTCCTCTGGTTTCACACCTACCCTGTGACGCACACAGGTGTCAAGAGTACAGTGCCCGGTGCCCAGTAAGAATGCAACAAATTTTAATGAAAAATGTACCTGAGTGAAAAACAAAGCAGAGCCCTCCCAAGGGGTAAAACCGCATGTGCTGGTGTTGCTGTTACATGGTCTCGTGCCGAGGTCTCAATTGTTGGACAACCAGCCCCTGTGCTCTTGGGTAGAGAAGGGAGGGGCTGACGGTGGATAGCCAAGCCCGGTCCCCATTCCTGCAGGGTCTCTGGACTCAACCTCCCACCCACAAGGGTTCTGCTTCCCCTTCACCCACTGACCAGTCCATCCCTCCAGGCCTGTGTAAGGGGAGTCGCATGTTGAGAAAAACAGAGTTCTTATGCTGCGGCAACTTCTGCCTTCCCACCTGTGCTGCAGGCACATTGCACATAGGCGCTCATTCCATCCGCCAGCCTCCTCTGTGAAGGACAGGAGGAAACTGAGGCCCAAAGATGTTTGCTTCCTCCAGTCTACTTGGCAAACTCCTATTCGTTCTGCAAAGCCCATCTCCTCAACTAAGTAATCGCCCCTCTCTGCGTCTCTCCTCTGAAGCTGCAGTGATCCCATTGTTACACTTTTCCTGTGGGTCATCACATACCTCTGGGCCTTTACCTTGACCCCCACGAACTGTGAGCCTGGGGAGGGCAGGGCCCAGGTGATTGCCATCCCAGTGCCAGGTTACGAGGGCACAGTCATGGGGGGTGGCTGGAGCTGCACTGTTGCTGCTGTGCGCAATTAGCCTAACCAAGTGGCTGCTTCATCTTTCCCTGTTTTGTCTTCTTAGAAATGTAACCATAAATAAAATGCAGAAGTTTAAAGAGTACAAAGTCCCAGCTTCCTGAGCCCATTCTGACTCGTCCAGCTGGGGTAGCTGGGGGCTCCCTGCTTCATGGGTGCATGGGTCCTGTTTCTTCATGGGACACAAAACTAGGTCTGTCTTTTGGGGAGTCCTCAGCAGGCCAAGGTTGGCAAGTGATCCCCATGTATGTTTCAAATGTTGTCCCTTACATTGGGGTGGGAGAGAAGCAATTGCAAAATGGCTTCAAGAGCAGACATTCTATTATCTTCGGATTGCTGACTGGCTTTCATTTCTAGGATCTCAAAGCCTCAGTTGACCTTAAGTCCACAGTCGCCAGCGTGGCCACAGATGATAGCAGTCAGGTTCATTCTCAGAGCCTTGTATTGGCTCAAATGCACTTATTTGCCTAAAAGCATTTACTAGGCACCTAGAATGAGCCAGGCTCTTTGCTGGGCCTGAAGGATGCAATGGTGAATATTATCTACAACCCCATGGAGATCACAGTATAGCTGGGGCACTGTCAGCAGGCCAGACTGTGCCTGCCCAAGGTGGCAGGTAAGCCTGTCTGGGAAGCAGAGACAGTCACACAGATGGGCAGGAGGGAAGTGGTGGGGGGAGTCCACTCGCGCTGCAGGGGCTAAGGGAGGCTTCAGCCCCTACCGCATCTTATTTGCTTTCCACAAGAACACTGCAAGGCAGGCAAGACAACTATCTGTCATTGCCATTTTAGAGAGGAGGCTGTTGGAGTTCAGAAAGATAAAGTAACTTACCTAAGGTTGCACAGCCAATAAATGACAGAGGAAGGATTTGAACCCCAAACCCACTTCTCTCTCCACTTTGACTCTGCTGCCCCTTCAGTCCTCCCTTCATTTGCCCATGTATTCATTCACAGATGGCTATATGGCTTTTGCTATGGATCAGGTCCTGTACTAGGCACGACGCTACACAGGGAGGCAGACCCATGAGGTCCCTACCCTCAAGGGGCTTCCCATGTAATGATGAAACAGATGGAAATGAATAAAAATTCTAAATTGTCGGGGTCAGGGCCATGAAGGAAACAAGACGGCAAGGAGGAAGGGGTGACCCACGTGGCCTAGGAGGGTGGGCGGCTGGACTCTGAGGAGTTTGCATGAAGCTGCAGGAGGAGAAGGAGCCGGCCACGTGGAGCCCCCGGGACCCCTCTGCACCTCTTTGCCTGACAACGATGGGAACAGTGAACCAGGACTTTGCCAAGATCCCGTCCTCCCTGTGATGCTGTGTCTGGGCAGAGGAGATCACAAGTGCGTGTGGCGCATGCCTTTGCACCCCCAGACCTCCGTGGGTGGGAGGCAGATGTAATGAGACCAAAACCCCGGAAACAGAAAAGGGTTTTTGCAGAGTCCACAGAACCTGGCTAAGCATCTGAGTTTCAGAGTTGGGTAGACCTGGGTCCCTCCCTGCCTCTGCCTCTGCTTCTGCCGGCACGTGTTTACATCTGTGAAATGGGTATGTTCTCAATGGGAGCCTGTTATAAACATGAAGGGAACTGATGTTTGCTGGCCCAGGGGAAGTGCACAGCATGCACCTGGGGGAGGAGAAGGAGGAAGGGCCAAGAGGGGGAGAACTGCCTTTAGAAATCACATTCAGGGGGTCTGCTTGCCCAGCAGGGCCCAAGCACTGCCTGCTTCCAGAGGCAAAAGGGCAGAACCGAACTTGGGGAGTGTCAGGGCACATGGAGAGTGGGAAGCCACATGCTGTGTCCTCCTCTCTGAGACTCTCAGTGCCTGGGTCTTGAGTGAAGGCGGTGTGACCTGCGATAAGTCACTGCATTTCTCTGTGGGCACTTTGTTCCCAGGAGGCTGGATAAATGCCCCACTCAGGGTCCCCTGTGCTGCCCACAAAATGTAGGAGGGGGTCAAGGTTTAGGCCACAAGGGACACTCAGCTCCAATGTTTTTAAGGGTCCTCAGGGCTCTGGGGTGCTCCTAAGCCAAGGAGCTACAATGCCCAGGGGACGTACTGGCTACTACTGCAGGTCCTGGGGAAAGTGCTGGCTGTGTGTCTTCTCAGGCAAGATGCCATTATCTCAATCAGATCCCCTCCTGAGAAAGAGGAACCTGTGGTCTGACTTCAGCTGAACTGCCCGGAACAGGAACCAGGACCCTCTCAGCACAGGCCACACGAACCATGTCCTTGGCTCCAGGTTTCAGTTTCTGATTAGACTGCAGAATGGGACACCTTCAGTGCAGCTCAGGGCCTGTGGGCTCATCCTCCTTCTAGCCGCCCATGGATGCTGCTGCCTTACCATCTGGACGGGCCTCCTCAGCTCTGGACATCCCCAGGTCTTTGTCCAGCCTACCTGGCAGAGGTGGTCCGGCCTGACCAAGGGACAGTGTCACTTGGGAAGAACCCTGGTAGGTTTCATCAGGGGACACAGCTGGGATGCACTATCACCCACCTTCATCCCCTGTCAACTGTGTCTGGACATTGGAAACAATGCGTTTATTGATATTATTATTATTATTCCCAGAGAAGGAATCTGAGGTTCAGAGAGGTTAAGTGACTTGCCCAAGGTCACACAGGGAGTTAGTTGGCTGCTGGAGACAATGAGATTTGAGGCCCACATCCCTGGGCAAGACCAAATACACATGACCTCGGCTCAATGATGAGCAAAAGCATTTTTTTTTTTAATTCATATCTTTCTTTTCTAAAAGTATTTTAGTATAAAACACTTAATCCCTCTCTGACTCCTACTTCCTACAAAGAAAGTGTCTTCCAGGTCTGAGCTGTCTGACACAGTAGCCACTGGCCACATGGAACTAGTGAGCATTTGAAATACAGCTGGTCCAAACTGAGATGTGCTGTGAGTAGAAAAAGGAGCCCTGGTGGCTCCGTGGTTAAGCACTTGCCTGCTAACTAAAAGGTCAGCAGTTCAAATCCGCTAGCTGCTGCTCCGGAGAAAGGGGGCAGTCTGCTTCCCTAATAGCTACAGCCTTGGAAACCCAATGGGGCAGTTCCACTCTGTCCTATGGGACACCATGAGTCAGAATCAACATAACAGCAACAGGTTTGGTCTTGTCCAGGTGAGTATTAAACACACACTAGATTTCAAAGACATCATGTGAAAAAAAAGCATGTGACAATCTCATTACTAATTTTTCACATTGATCACATGTGGGAATGATAATATTCTGGATATATTATCAGTATATTATTATATATACTGGAGTAAAGAAAATGTACAATTAAAATCAATTCCACCTGTTAGTTTTCACATTTTTCTAACGTGGCAGAGAATATTTCGGAGTCCCCGAGTGGTGTACCTGGTTAACGAGCTCGGCTGCTACCTGAATGGTTGGGGGCTCGAGTCCACCAGAGGTGGCTCAGAAAAAAGGCCTGACTGTCCTTCTGAAACATCAGCCTTCGAGAACCCCACGGGTCACAGTTCTGCTGAAACACGGGGCTCCATGAGTCAGACGGACTGGGTGGCAACTGCAGGTGGTGGGATAGAAAATTTTAAATTGTGCATGTGGGTTGCAGCCGTCATTTCTATTGGCTGGCACTGGTCTAGCTAGTCCTGGGGCTGAGATGATGGGTGGGGCTGAGACGGGGGAGCCCCTGGCCAAAGGGCCTTCCTGCCCAGGCTTTCCGGGGCAGATGTCCTTTGCTTCCCCGGAATGTTTTCCCAGGGAGACCACGTGGATAGGATTGGAAGCGCTGGCAGGACCCAAAACATCAGCCCCACCTCATTCACACATGAAGCCAGTGGTGTAGGACAAGAGCCTGGTCTTTGGAGCCGGACAGTTCCGGCCTCTGCAGCATCACCTATGAGCTGTGTGATGTTGGACAAGTTGCTTAGCCCCTTTGAGCTTCAGTGTCCTTGTCTGTAACGTGAAATTATAGCATGGTGGCTGCCTGGAGCGTCTCTAAGAGGATTCAATGAGACAGGTATGCACAGCAGCTAACACAGGACTTGGCACAGCCAGAGCTCAAGAAAGAGAGTCATTGTAAAGCATGAAGTTGGTTAGCTGCACCCTGGACACTGGGCTAACTGATTTTTATATTACCAGTTATTGTATCTGCTCCTATGGATGTCCCGGGCGGCAAAGACCTGAAACCCAGCTCCCCTCCTTGGCCTCACTAGCTCACCTGGTCCACGGGTAGAAATGGGCAGGTTGGCGGTTGGCACGAGCAGACGCGGCAGCCTCGGCAGTGCTGGGGCCTCCCGTCTTGTCAGCCAGGCTCTGCTCGATGGCCATCTGGACCAGCTCATCCTCACTCAGACCACTGTACAGGCTGTACTCCTCATGCCCAATGGTACCCTGTCTGCCACGGGCACTGATCTTGGTGGCCATCCTCTTCGACCTCTCACCCCGGCCTCCAGCACGGGGAGAAAGCAGCAAATCAGGACACCCTGTGAGGAGATCAAAGCTATCCTGGTCACCAATGGTCTTGTAGATGTAGCAATCACAGGTTTGTTCTTTGATTCATTCATTTGGCCATATGAGCCATCAAACCCACTCATTCATCCATCTTCCCATTTACTCACCCATGTACCTATCCATCCATTTACTCATCTAATCCCAGTCCACTCAGTCATCTAACCATGTTCTCATCCATCCTTCCATTCATCTACCCATCTGCCTACCAATTCATTCATCTATCCCACCACCCAAGCTTCCAGCCTCCGCTCATCCGCGTATTTATTCATCTTCTCATCCATCCATCTCTCCACACACCCACCCATCCATATAGTCATCCTCTCATCCATCCACCTACCATCCATTCCACCAACTATCCACCCATTCGTCTTTCCACTCCAGACAGCCACCTATGTGTTCACCTTTGCTTATACCCATTGCCTGTATTTGTTGAGTACCTGCTCTGTGTCAGGCACTCTTTTAAGCACTGGAAACAAAAATCCCAACAGATAAAAATCCCTGCTTTTTGGAGCTTACACAGCAGTGTTCACCTTCTTTTATTCCAGTCATTCAACACCACCCTCTCCTGACGTTTCCCCACTTCTCTGCATTGGGCTGAGGCTGAAAATACTAGAGAGGAATCAGACACAAGCTCATGGCTTGAGATGGCAAAATCAATCATTAATGACTTGCCACGTTAATTCCGGGGACTTTCTTCTTTAAAAAAAAAAAAAAAGGAGCACTGGTGGTATGTTGTTGTTGTTGTTAAGTGCCGTCGAGTCGTTTCCAACTCATGGCCACCCCATGCACAGCAAAACGAAACACTGCCTGATCCTGCACCAGCCCCACAATCCCTGCTATACTTGAGCCCATCATCGCAGCCACCATGTCAATCCATCTTGTTGAAGGCCTCCCCCTCTTTCGTCGACCCTCCACCCTACCAAGCATGACTTCCTTCTCCAGGGAATGGTCCCTTCTTACAACATGACCAAAATAGGTGAGATGAAGTCTGGCCATTCTTGCTTCCAAGGAACATTCTGGCTGCACTTCCTCCAGGACAGATCTGTTAGTTCTTTTAGCAGTCCATGGTACTTTCAGCATTCTTCGCCAGCACCACAACTCAAAAGCATCAACTCTTCTTCGGTCTTCCTTATTCATTGTCCAGCTCTCACATGCATACCAGGCGATTGGAAACATCATGGCTTGTGTTAGGCTCACCTTAGTCCTCAAGGAGATATCCTTGCTCCTCAGCACTTGATACAGTTCCTTCGCAGTTGACTTTCCCAATGCTACACGTCGTCTAATGTCCTGACTGCTCCTTCCATTGGCGTCGATTGTAGAACCAAGCAACGTGAATTCTTTGACAACCTCAATCTTCTCTCCATTTATTGTGATGCTGCTCATTGGTCCAGTTGTGAGGATTTTTGTTTTCTTTATGTTGAGATGTAATCCATACTGCAGACTGTATTCTTCAACCTTCATCAGTAGGTGCCTTAAGTCATCCTCACTTTCAGCAAGCAAAGTTGTATCGTCTGCATATCTCAGGTTGTTAATGATTCTTCCTCCAATCCTGATACCACATTTTTCTTCATATAGTCCAGCTTCTCGGATTATTTGCTCAGCATATAGATTGAATAAGTGTGGAGAAAGAATACAACCCTGACACACTCCCTTCTTGATTTTAAACCATGTAGTGTCCCCTTGTTCTGTTCGAACGACAGCCTCCTGGTCAAGGTACAGATTCCTCATGAGTACAATCAAGTGCTTGGGAATTCCCATTCTTCTCAATGTTATCCATAATTTGTCATGATCCACACAATCAAATACCTTTGCATAGTCAATAAAACACACGTAAACTTCTTTCTGGTATTCTTTGCCTTGAGCCAAGATCCATCTGACAACAGCTATGATATCCCTTGTTCCACATCCTCTTCTGAATCCAGCTTGAACCTCTGGAAGTTCTCTGTCAATATACTACTGCAAACGTTTCTGAATTATCTTCAGTAAGATCTTACTTGGGTGCGATATTAATGATATTGTTCTATAATTTCCACATTCTGTGGGATCACCTTTCTTTGGACTGGGCACAAATATGGATCTCTTCTACTATACTGGTGGTATAGTAGTTAAAAGTGCTTGGCTACTAACCAAAAGATCAGCAGTTCAAACCCACCAGCCGCTCCATAGGAGACAGATGAGGCAGACTGCTTCTGTAAAGATTGACTGCCTTGGAAACCCTATGGGCAGTTCTACTCTGTCCTATAGGTTTGGTATGAATCTAAATCAACTGCACAGCAATGGGTCTGATTTTTTAGTTTTCTTCTGAAAAAAAATGCCTGAAGGGAGAGATGGACTTTGGTGAGTTCACTATTTTAGGGGAAGGAGTAAACCAGCTAAGCCTGAGTCTCACTTTGACTGGCAAAGATGATAGAAGAAGAGGCCCTGGGAGTCCCAGGGAGGGCCCCATTGCAGTGTGACTACAGGTCAGTGGCTCTGTTGTGTAATGACTTTTATAAAGTACCTTCAAAATACCTGTAATTTGGTTTGTTGGGCAAATATTTACTCCCCACCCCTACCCCCAGACACAATGTATCCCCCTCTTCCCCACTGATGTTGGGCTTAGCCATGTGACTTGCTCTGGCCCATGGATGTTGGTGGACACAAGGCAGGCAGGAACTTGACACGGGCTTGTGCCAGGGGGCTTGTTCCCACCATGGCTCTCGTTCTTCTGCCAACAGCAAGAGGGTCCCCTTCTCGAGTCACTGCCCCTTCAGCCTCGGCCCCAGGGCGAACCCATGTGGGGCAACTTGAGCCCACCCTGCATGGAGGAGCCCAGCCCAGCAGGGCCTGCAGCTTGTAGGCGAGTCTCCCAGCCAGGGCTGGCCTGGCACAGCCGGTCTACAATCGGTCTACAGTCATCCTGAGCATGGGCATCAATGATTATGTGGGGTGCTTTGTTTCAATGCAGCATTCTCTAATTAACTGATACCCAAAGGACTAGCCCAGATGCTTCACAAAGAAAATCTCCAAGTGGCCAGGAAATAAAAATAGAGGTGCTTAGCTTCATTAGTGTTTGGGGAGATTCACATGAAAACCCCAAAGCAATACCTCTACACTCTCCAAACCAAAACCAAGCCCAGTGCCGTGGAGTTGACTCATAACAACCCTATAGGACAGAGTAGAACTGCTCCATAGCATTTCCAAAGATACACATCTTCACAGAAGCAGACAGCCCCATCTTTCTCCCACAGAGTGGATGGGGGGGGTTCCATCTGCTGACCTTTCAGTTAGTGGCCATGCACTTAACTACTGTGCCACCAGGGCTCTTCCAGATGGCTCCAATAAAAGATGAGAAGGATCTAGTGTTAAGGAGGATGTGGGTGACCAGACCTCCCACCACCGCTGGTGGGAGTCCAAAATCCATATAACCACTTTGGAAAACTGGTGATGTTCGCTAAAGCAGAAATACACAGGTCCTGTGACCTAGAAATGCCACTCCTAGCTATACAACCAAGACAAATGTGCACCCAAAGACAAGGACGAGAATATTCCTAGAGCTGCTACTCATAATAAACGCACCTGGAAACTACCCAAAGGTCCATCTGAATGTCCAGTGGGACAGGTGGATCCATCGTGGTACGTTCCTGGGGTGGATAGTGTGCACCAATGAAATGACGCACTCAGCCCACACACGCCAGCAGGAAGAATCTCACAAACAACATTGAGCAAAAAAATCCAGGTAACAGAACATACATCCATGATTCGATTTACACAAAGCTTGAGAACAGGCGACCATAAAGGGAAATGAAGTCCGATACAACACAGATGGACCTTGAAAACATGCTCAGTGAAGTAAGTCAATCACAAAAGGACAAATACCATTGATGTGTTTTTACCAATTTAACACTCCCTCCTGACACACCTCCCTCCGCTCGGCTCTCAGAACCCATTCTCACCCCTCAGAACCCATTCTCACCCCTGAGTGCTCAGAGCAAGTGCCTTCTCTTCTGGAAAGCCTACCCTGATTCCTCCAAGACACAATCCTCTCCTAGAACTTTTAAGTTGAGGTTGGTAGCTCAGGTGCAGACTTGACCTTGGACCATCTTTCCAAGGCCAGTGCTTCATGTACATAGAATGCTCAGTTAAAGCTCACTGCAGGGGTGGCTGTATTCCTTCATCATCATATGTCATGGTAGACCCACTGATTGCTCACTCAATGGCCTTTCCCTATCATTCTTGACAGCAGAACCTGGCTTTGTTCAGGCAGCAATTTTGTTAGTTTCAGATAGGATAATCCCTCCCCTTTGGCCAATGACTGGTTTAGGGGTTGCCATGGACCCTACTTTTGTCCAAAGGCAAATTCTGCTGGGGTGCCTCTAGAAAGACCTTTTCTCCCTAATAAAGAGAGATTAATAGAGAGAATAACTCCTTGCCTATATCCCCATTTTATGTTTGGAGGATTTGGTGTTCGGAGCAGTGGCAGCCACCTTGTGACCATGAGGTGTGGAAGGTGGAAAAAACAGTGTGGACGGAGTTTGACAGAAGGAATGATACATCTTCTGAGTTTTTCATGCTGTTGAGCTACTGAACCGATGCTGGGCCCACTAATCTCTGGTCTGCTTGTAGGCAAAAGGCAAAGATCCTTATGATTGAAGCCAATGATAGTTCAGTTTCTGTGATATGCATCCAAAACTACCTTACTGGATGGCCTGGCCAAAAGTCTTGAAAGAAAACATCAAGGCCCTGCTAGCAAGTGAGGGATACAGAGCAGCTTCAGGAGGGGAGATGATAGGCCAGTGATTCCTGCCAGGGGTCTGGTGGGGGTGTCTCACGGGGGTGGCAGCCAGGATGAAGCAGCCAGTGGTGTCAGTGTGACTGGGGTCAGTCACGGCTTTGCCAATGATTAGCTGTGTGACCTCTCAGAATCTCCGTAT